CTCTGTGATAACCTATTTAAGAAGGGACGTGGTGAGGAGGAGTCAGACTTGTGAGGAGGAGTTGTGGCAGATGCGTGAACACCAAGGTCAGTGGAGGAACGGAGGAAGAAAGGAGGGGGGAGGTGTGCCGGAGCAGAGACCCCCCTGTATCCTGTGGTGAGAAGGCATGAAGACCTGCGGTGGAGCAGACACTGATTTATGGCCTGGGAGGGGACTCATATGGACGACTAAGGTGGCTGCACCTGAAGAAGTCCGTGATCCTGTGGGACAAGCAGCCCCCGCTGCTGTAGTTCAGTGCTGGGAGGATTGCAGCCTGCGGGGGTGTCCAACGCCGGAGCAGCTCGGGAAGGGCTGCAGCCCATGGGAGGGACTCCAGCTGGAGAAAGTTGGTGTCCCACGCTGGAGCAGTGTAAGGAAACACTGTGGCCCGTGGGAGGGACTCACATCAGAGAAAGTTTGTGGAGGACTGTCTCCTGTGAGAGAGGGACCACGATGGAGCAGGAGGAATAAGTTTCAGAAGCTCCCCCCACTGAAGATGGATGAAGCAGCAGCACTGACTGCACCCCCCATTCCCTGCCCCTGCGCCACTGGGGGAGGAGGTGGAGATATCGGGAGCAGAGCTGATCCTGGGAAGTAGGGAGGGGTTGAGGGAAGATGTTATCAAGCTGTGGCAATGTTTCTCACTGTCCTACTCTGTTACATGTTGTTGATAGTGTCTCTCTTTTTTTCTTCCCCTAACGAGTCTGCCTTTTGCCCGTGACCATAATGGGTGATTTTCCCCTCCTGGTCCTATCTCAAATCCCAAGCCTGGCTTATTTTACCTTTCTCATCACTACGGGAGAAGGGGGAATGAGCGGCTGTGTGGTGCTCAGTTGCCCTCTGAGCTCAAACCATGACATCTATACAAAGGATTATAACTTATTTACAGGAAACAGCTTAAACATCAGTGTTTTAGAGCCACATTTCAATACATGCTACCTGTAAATTTCTAACAGTCTGATCCTGTTTGTCAGTCAGCTCATTTGATGTTTATTTTCATGAAATACAGCCTGTTTGGCCTTCCTCTTCTGCCTCTGGTTTCGATACCTCCATAATTTGTACTGTTGTATTGTGTTGTATAATGACTTTGTTTTCATCTTGATGTTACGGCACCAAGTCACTTAAACCCACGTTTTGTTCCAGCCAATGTGCTAATGTGTACTGAAACACATAGAAAAACAATCTTCTTAAGTAAGTTCTCACTTTGTCTTGCCTTTAAACCGCTCAAAGACTTTTGCTGTGTTTTCAGCTTTTCTGGATTCTCTCTCTTCTCGTAATACTGAATTGGTCACCTGTTGTTTTTAGTAAAGTGGCCCAAATGTGAAAAACCAGAACAGCACTAGAGCTCTGAAAACATCCTCCTTTTCAGGTCTTGTTCCTTTCTTCGTGTCTGTGCTCTTTCTCACTTGAGTCCAGTCAGTAATAAGATCTTACAGAAAATTTATTTTTTTTTTTTTTTTCCTCCTGTCATTTGATTAAACAGCTTCAGAGATTGGGAGAGACTCTTGTGGCTTATTGTTTGGTTTTTGTTCCTGCCTGGTCTGTTGATAGACACCATCTGTGACTTACCAATACTAATATATAATATATACTTTCAACCTATAGATACATATTTATTACACACACAGAGAAATATAAATATTTAAAATTTCTCTACATGGCTATCTTTGGATATTTTCTTAAGTGCTAGCTGGTGACTTCCAAGTCACCAAGCTAGCTTTGCTTCCAGTTGCAAAGACTGCTCAGCTTTGGGTGCTGGTTTCCTGTGTTTGCTCAGAACAAGCATTAAGGAAATAGTGGACCCGAACGTTCCTCACCTGAAAGCTCTGCTGGAGGTTGGGGTGTCATTGTGTTGACTGGGGAGCCTTACCTACCATCAGCATCATAAATTGTGACCGTATCAAACCTTAAATTGTGTTTTGAGAGGAGAGTTTTTGAGTCACTTGTGTTTTGAGCATCCTTTAAAACACAACATAAGCAGCCGAGGGAGCTGCTTTCTACAGCAAATGCTTGTAAGACTGGTCTTCGGTAGCTTCAGAACAGACAAGCAAAAAGTCTGGTCATCTGAACTAAAAGATAAACGTCCTTTCTGACAGAAAATACTGTCGTATGGTCTCCCTGTCATATGCTCTCCTTTTGTTGTTTGGTAGTAAGAACAACAGAGTGAAACTTGTAAAAATTAGTATTAATCTGTGAGCCCAGATGGACTGTTGTTTTTTTCTGGTGGCCAGACTCTACCTTTCAAGAGTTTTCCATAAAGATGAGAGATGTATACTTACTTTTGGAGTTACAATTGCCAGGGTTAGGTGCCAGTGTAAAAGAGCCTGGCCATCTGCAAGACTTTTTCAGAGGTAGCAACAGAAACTAACTTCTGCGTCTGACTAGACTGTAATGTGAGAAAAAAGCCACCATACATTTGTTGGGGTTTTTGTTTTGTTTTGTTTTGTTTTTTTCACTTTAGGCTAGGTTGCTTTTTTTTCAGACAAATCACTGTGGGTTTTATGAGTTTGTTGTTTAAAATTTAGGTCTCGGTATATCTCTATTAGATACTGTGAGCTAAGTTGGGGTGTTTTTTCATCACTCACGTACTGAAACCTTACAAACAGCATTGTGTGTGATCCCCTTAGTTCCAATATTATTTTCAGTTTCAAATAATGATTTTTATTTTTAAATTCCATGGAATCCCAGTGTATTGAACACTTCACTAATGAATGTGCTACATAGATTTTTTTTTTTTATTATTTTTTTTTTTGATCAGTCACCTTTTGGTTGAAACTGCCAGAAGCATAAGAATGCAAGATATTTCGCTTCCTGCTGCGGGATAGAGCTCTGATGCGTGATCTCCTCTGGCCACCCAGATATGTTATGGAGTGGTTGTGTTGAGCCAGAAAGTAGAAAGCCAATCTTGAATATGTGCCTGCTTCTAATTACGCGAGGCCATCATGGCACAGAGAAGGTCTGTCTTCTGGGTCATTGATCTAAACACATTTTTTGCTTCTGATCTGGTTTTAAGTGTGACTAGAAGACTTTGACACTCTGTTGTAAAATTAGCTGTGTTTATTTCCTTTGTCAGCTCAAAGGATGTCCTTTTCTGGCTGCCCATCTTACTGCTTGATCAGTCTCACTTAGGCTCACTCTGTAGTGGGCACGCACAGTGGCTAGAGTTAGAATAACTTCTTAATTGCTCATTCAGCAAATGAGTTTGTGTGAGGCATGACAGTTTAACAGTGGATTGGCTTGAATTAAGTAATTTGGTCTTAATAGATCTAGAGAAGGCAAGCCCAGTGATGAGATCTGCTGAGCTCACAGAAAAAAAGGAACTGAGCAAGACCCCCGTTCGCCTGTACCTTTGTGTGTGTGTTGATTTGGGGTTTTTTTCTTCTTTCAAGATAGAAAAATAAGTTTACCTAAATGGTATTTGCTTTTTACAAGTTAAGCAAGTGGAAAAACATAGAATTCTCTGTGAACAATTTATTTTTAGTTCATTTGTTCAGGATTGAGTAATCCCTGAGACGAAGCATCATGAGTCAGATTATTCATTATAAATTGTAGTAAAATGTCATAATTCACAAGTTCCTGTACAGGAAAATTACAGAGTAGATCATTATTTTAAAATGGGTGTGGTTTGTGGATGTGATTACTATGAAATACCCAGTGTAGTGATCAAAACAAAATGGGTTTTTGAAAGAAAGAATTACCTTTTAAAGGTCTTGCTAGGCATATTTTGAATAAGAAATGTAAGAATTGTGTTCATAATTGAATCTTGATGTATCAAGACCTTATCTCCAGTGCAGCATGTGCAGGGCCTCATAGATTTGATGCCTTACCGTGTTTAGTTTGTGCTAGGACATAAATTTGACCCATCCTGTGAAATGTTTGTCTTCCACTCTCTTCTGGCTTCTTTTGTTATATTCTCTATCACATTTAAGTCATATTGGTAAAAATATCTTTTCAGAATAAAAGGAAAATGCCATTTTATTTTCATGTCTAGAATTTAAGAATAATTGAGGCTGGGTGCAACCTCTGATCGTTTCATCCAATGCCCTGTTCAGAGCAGAGACAGCTTCAAAGTTAGATTTGTTGACTCGGGCCTTGTGCCATCATGTGCTGAATATTTCCAGGGATGGAGATTCAAAAAGATCTCTGGAAACCCTGCTCCAGTGCTTGACCAGTGGTGTGATACATTTATTTTTTTAGGCCCTTTAGATCTGATAAAAATTTGCCATGCTCTTGTGTTCTTTGCTCCCAGTCCTTTTGGTGTGAGCCTCTGAGAAGCCTAGCTCTTACAAGTATGTGAATGCCCATTAAGGAACTGTAGATAGCAATTAGGTTCCCCTTTTGTCTGGTCTTCTACAGGCTGAACAGACCCACATCTCTCAGCCAGTCCTTGCATGTCATGTGCTTCAGTCCCATAGCCGTGTGTGTGGCCTTTTAAATGTTTTTTTTTTTATTGATACCTATATAAAACTATAGTCAGATGCCTGTTTATTACAGCATACTTGGCAAATAGATAGACCAGACACTCTAATGAGCCTCTCTGTTCTTTGATTGCTATCATTTATTTTGGGGAAAGTGTGAGAACACTCTCTCAAAGGATATGTACTAAAAGAGACCTATTGTATAAATCCACACAGAATTCAGAGAATGCAAAATAACAACTGCTCTGTGGTAATTCATCCTCTGTTATTAATGCAGGCAAAATGAGTCAATTAAAGCATTTCTGTTGAACTACTTGTTCTTTCAAATCCTTTAATTGCTCAGCTAACTACAGGAAGATGAAAATCTAGAAACCGTTTGGGAGAAGATCATATTTGAGTATATTATACTGCATTAGTCTCATCAACCACTTGATTTTGCAAGAATTTTTTGTTTCAGCTTTTGAAGAGGGTTTCTGTTCTGGCAAAAACATTAATCATGGATTGCCTCAATTGAAATTTTGCACATATTTTTCCCTCATCAAGTGTGATGCAGATGGTAACAAGCCCCTGGAAATCCATGCTGCGACAAATGAAAAGCGAGCGCAGAAGTAGAACACCACAGCACTTGGAATCAAACAGGTAAAGGATAAAGCCTGGTAATAGTATGCAGTAAAATAACCTGGAAAAGCTGAACATTTACAAACTTGACGTGTAGTTATTTTCTTCATATTGATGAAGAAAGAGGGGAAAGACTGGTAATAATTTTATTTGTCTTAACATTTGTCAAGAATATGCGTGCTCCTTAACACTATTTAAGTTAACAAATCTAAAATCTTCATCTTTAGAGCAAGCAAATACATGTCTTTACCAGGGGTTCTGGGTTAACTTAGCAAGGCCTTGTTTAATGTATTGTTGGCTGTTTGGGTTGTTTGTTTGTTTTCCTCCTTCCCATGTCTGCCTCCCATACCAAAAACCTCCTTTATCACACTTGTGCAGGTATGAAGGCAGGGAAAGAAACCTCTTCCCTGCTGATACGTTTCCTCTAAAGATTTCTCAGTGCCAGGGTACAGCGTTATCTTACAGCATGTAACAAACAGTCCATGATGTGCCAGACCTTTCATGTTGATGCACCTCCCTAATGAGACGTGCTTCATCAGTTGGGAATGAATGATGGAGGAAATAGAGGCCGTGCTTTCCAGTTCTCTGAGCCAGAAACTTGAGTTGAGACACCAGTTCTGTTCCTGCCTTGGCCACTGGGCTGCCTCTGAACTCAAGCAAGTCCTGTGGTTGTTACAGTTTATAGAAAAGCAACACAAAAAACACCCTCTCAACTTTAGGATGGTTCAATTTTATAGGACAGAAATTGCTCTGTGTCTGAGGCTTATTATTACTAATGATGATGTAAGTGGACATTGTTTAGTACAAAATATCAGATGACTGCTGTGTTATCAGTTGATAAAATACGTCTTTTCTGGACATGTTTTCTAGTTGTTTGTCTTTGCCCTGTATTATTTTCACGTTATGGTAAAAGCTTATTTTTCATCAGAAAGTGATCTTAGCATTATAGGGACTCATTTTTGTATGCAGTGTTCCATTTACCAAAAAAATTCTCTTTTATTTTTTTTTTCTTTCTTTCCTAACTGCCAACTGTGTAAATAGACTCCGGATTTAGAAAACTGCACCAATTTTTGATTCCATGCATCATCACTAGTCACAAATGTTTGCCGATGTGATGGAACACACACATCTGCTGAGCAACAGCGTTCCACTGTTACATGGTCAGCTTTAAAAGCAAAACTAGTTTCTAATGTTGTGTTTCTCTTAATGTGTTTTTAATTGCTTTAGCTAACTCTCACAAGGGCAAAAAGGTATGTTAGCTGGCTCATTTACTGAGTGCATTAGGTATTTCTTCAGACATATGAATATAAAGTCTTTAAGAATACACGTTTTCCAAGTATTTTATAAAAGATCCACATAAAATAAAAATTAAAAAACCAAACAGGTGGGGTTTTGAGTAAAGATACCCAGGAGAACCAAGAGGAAGAAAAACTTATGTAAAATTCACTAAAATATTGTACTCACTGTGAACTAGGATAGAGTTACTAAATGGTAAACAGCCAGGAAAATTGAACTTTTGTTTATGTATGTGGGACACTGTACAGATATCAAGGTTCATTACAAACAGAAGTCTGTAGATAGCTCTTATTTTCTTGTAGCATTTCTTACTATGTGAATATAATTCCTGTTAGGTCTTTATTCACTTTTTGAAATGTTGGTGATTTTTGCTTGACTCACATTTTCTTTTTGTGAGAGTGGGGTGTGGAGGAGGGGAAAAAACCAAAAGCTATCAGGAAGACATAATAAATATGGTATCCAGACCCTATCCCAGTCTTAAGGATTTTAATCATAAATATACTCATGCTATATAAGTAAGTTTTGAGGAAAACCTCACAGCTGTTGTTGCAGATGTTCTACTACGGGGTATTTTTGTTTTAAAGAGCGAAGATACATGCTCAGGTGCTTAAAGTACCTGAATGCTGCTGGTTTTGAAATCTACTTGCTTTGCCACATGTTGTTTCTGGAGGAGTTACATACATGGAACTGCTGGATTTTTGACCTAGAGCAACCAGATGGTGAAAGTTCAATTCAGTATCAATTTTCAGCTGTTCTGTGGGGGTGGCGATTTGTTGCTTCTGCTTGAAATCAGATCCAGTTATTTAACTTCATACCCAAGTCCAGATGTTTTGTTGAATTTGGGTGATCCCAAAGGTTGGAGAATGCTGCTGCTATCTTTGAAAAGACATATTTGTTTATTCTGAACGAGATCAGTCCTGAAAGTCTCACTGTATTTTCAACTGCTGGCAATAATCCTAGTTAAATGTGGTTACTAAAATAAAGACAATCTAATTTACCTCAACGATTTGCCACAGCACAGGTCTCTGAATTGTGGATGGTCAGTCAAGGACAAACTGACTTTGGATTGGAGACAGTAACATATTTCTCCATTCCAAAAACCAGCAGCATCACACCTCCTCTATTGTAGTATGTTTGTCATCAACAATTATATGCAAACTTCAGCTCAAACCACATCCCTTCGTGGGAGAAGCAAGCTTTAATTTTATCCAGCTGTTGTGCAGAAGAGGTGCACAGAAATGACACAGCGTAGTGTTTTTCCATGAAGATAACATTATGTCATTTTCACTCTGTTCAGGTTCTATATTTATGTAATTCCATTTCTTTGAGTGAAATTACTCCAGCTTTACATCACAGTAAGGGAGATTAGGAAAAAATGCATTTGATGGGAATTTTAAAATCATTATTTTTGAGGAAGTTAGTTTATTACAGAAGATTCCAGTTGGTGTTTTGTTGCTGTGAAGAGTTCTTTCTGTTTTGTATTTGCATACAATTCAGCTGTAGGAATTGAGATCTCTAGGGCAGACATAATCATTAGTGCTCTAATGTCAGTAATATGAAGAGTGAAATATCTTTACTTAGAAGTAAATCGGTATTGAGGATGTTCCTCAAGTAGATTTTGATCAACTTGCCACATCAAAAGAAAACAGTTTTTATTGCACTTTGACAATGGAAACAGAAGGCCTATGATATTGTAATTCTGCTTTCTCCCTCCTTCCCTCTCCCGCTTATCCTCTGTCCCCTTTCTTTGGCTATAGGTGAATTAAAAATATAGATATGAGCAACAATTTCCCAAGAAAAAGAGGAGAAACATCTGAATCCATTTTGATTTTGAATGTGACTAGTCTGCCTTCTGCCTCAGGAAAGACTGACAGTGTGCTAGTTGGATTTCTGGTATGGAACCTGTGAAAGGATGCTACGGATTTTGGGTCAGTCTTGAGACCTTGTCCTCAGTTCTGCAGTGGGACTCAAGTCTGCCCATGTTTGTCCCATTGCAGGATCAGCATTGGAAGTAGCAAGTCTCATAATTCCTTAGTCACTTGTTATTATTTATATATAAAATAAAATTCCAGTTACACAGAATGGTCCCGTTTTTTTCCTGCCTCTTATCTCCTTTAAACTCATGTATGTGACATTTGCACAATCTCTGAAAGGTTCTCGAGATGCTATTGACAATGACTGTATTTTTTTTTTAACAGTGAAGCAAAGCCTGAAGTAGCATGATGTTTTGGCTAACATTAGCTCATAGAATTATGAATGAGAACAATTACAATGACTCTTGTGTTTTGTCTGAACCTCCCCCCTCCTTTCTATACAAATCTTCTGCCTCATCAGTGCCAGCAGGAGGTATATAATGAAGCATCTGTGAGTTCCTGTCTAGTAGATGGATGGGAATGGAGCTGTTAATGTTTGTCCTTGTTTTTGCTTGAATGCACAGCTCATTGGGAACCAGAACATTACAGTGGTGGGAACCAGCTATAGAATAACTTGGCTGTTTCCTTATTCCCAGCCAGGGGAGGGGAGGAAAAAGTGAAGCGAAGGGAAATACAAAAGGATTTCCAGCATTTTGAAATCTTTGCACAATGAAACACTTTCATCATTTGTTGCTATTTTCATGAGTCTCTCTTTTGGGACATGCTGCTTCGCAGGTTACTGTAATTCAAGTAGCTCAGAGCATTTAAAGCTGTGTTGGTGAGTCTTAAATGTTCCTAAATTAATCAGTGAATATGAGGAATGGGGGAAGAATTGAATTAAATGTGTGCTTATACGATACATTAACTTTCTGAAGAACAGGAAAGAAAATACAAAGTGAATAAGATTCAAAATGCTTTTAAACCTCTTGGTTATTACTTGGTTAGGTGTTCCAGCTGTGTGTATTCCACAAACCTTTAGAGAAAAACAGACCTTGGTGAAGCGAATACCAGTCTGTGTGGGCACTGTAAAACAGGCCAAATCTTCTTTAATACGGGCATAAGGCATGTGGTTGCCTCAGGCAGAAAAACAGTATCTCCCAACTTGTTCAGTGTCTGCTTTTATAATTGTTTTAGGCTGGTAAAGACGGATGTTGATTTAGCACAGGGAGCAGAGTTTCTTGTGGGGTTTAGGTGGGGTGTGTGTGTTTGTTTTTTTACCTTAAATTTGCCAACATAGTTCAAACAGGCTTGTGAGGATCAGAGTAGTGTTTTTGTCAATAGTGGAACTGAAACTTGAGAAATATCGGTCATAGCTCTAACTGCTCTGTTACACCACGCTTGCAGTACAAGCATAGATTTGTCTCTTGTCTTAAGGATAGTCCTTCACTTATGCATTCTCATCCTGGAGAAGATTATTACTGTGGAGTTAGGAATACAGCTTTAGACACTTGGGGTTTTTTTCAGTAATATTGGGCATATGCCACATTGGCCTTTAAGAACATGTTTACTTGGTGATTCAGGTATTTTCACCCCTAGATTCTACCAAGATGTGCTTTCCTCATTCTTTTTTTGGTGCAGTTTGTTAGCTGTTTTGTTTCTTTTTACTGCCTGTGAGAGCAAAGTGAAATTCTTCATGTCCAGGCTGTTTCATTAGCTAATCCTCATTCAAACACAACATCTTTTAATCTTCATTTACATATGTATCTGTGTGCATGTTTAAAAAAAATCCTGGTTTAAATAAGTCACTTGACTTAAATGCCTTTTACGTGGTCATGTCTTCATAGTGCAGGTTTACACAGCTGCTTAAAAACATCCCAAACCATAGACATCAAAACAGAATGCTTTTATCTAGCAGGAAGTGACTGCCTTCGAGCACCGGCATACACACACGATGAAGAGATGGTTCCAAAATGTGAGCAAAATAGTCTTAACTGAAATCCTTTCCTTACATCTTCTGTTTTTCACAAGTTCAGGAAATAGAAAAAAAGCTTCATGCTGGTAAGAGTGCAAGAGATCATAAACATTCAACTCATTTGGCACCGACTTTCCTAATGAGGAACAGGAGAGCAGAGAACCCCTGTTCGTATGTATATATACATATGTGCACATACACAGATGCACGGAACTAATTTGTGCATGCATGTGTTATCTTTTGCCAGACTTTGCCTGTGGGTATTACAACATAAGTTAAAACCAATATATTCCCCACCCAGGTTTCATGTTGTTTAGTCATCCTTCCACTCAAAGCCTTTCAGCTTGGTAACAGCGCTGGGCAGCTGAGGAGCAAGCGTTCTCATCTCGGCATCCCTGGCCACAGTGGGTGTTAGCAGATATGTCGGGGCCAGGTTGCACTGCTCTCTTAAAAATACAATCTTTAATCTGTGCAGCACGTGAAAATCACAGACCTGGAGATCATCACGTTGGCCTGTGTAGCCCTCAATGCTGGGATGACAATTCCTGTAGGTAATGTGCTAGCTCTCTGAGTAAAAGCGGGCAGTGCAGCCTTTTGCTAGAAAGAGCATCACCAACCTGCAATAATCCTCTTAGCCCAGGTAAATATGCACAATCTTGCAGCCTTGAATAAAAACACAGTATTTTGCCACAAGCGTTCATTGCAAAAATCTGGTTTAGACTCAGCACTCTAACTGCAGAAGGCCCCAGATATGGACTTATCAGCAAAGTTTGTAACTTAAATGTTTTGGAGTATTCTTCGTCGTATCTGTCACCTTCGAAGAGACCTATAGTTGCAGTGCAATAAAGAGCAAGACTGATATGGAGCCAATCGTATTTCAGACTTAGAGAAAAGAATGCCCTGGGAGTTGAAGGGGTGTGCTGCTGGTCTGTTTATTAGCCCTGGCAGAAAAATCTCAGTGTGAGCACATTTCCTTCAGAACAAATGTGAGCTCCTGCTGCATGCATTTCTTTTTCCCCCTTGTTTTGTTTTGTTTTGTAAAGGTTATTTCTGTACCTTCCTGTAAATCCCAAGCTCCGTGTAAAGCTAGTTTTATCATAATAAACTGCTGTTGACAAAGAGTATTTTGGCTCTTCAGGCGTGCTGGGGGGCCTGCGTAACCTCCGGCTGGACCTTGCTGGCTGTAGCACCTCAAAGCAGGGTCGGCTGTTGCACCTGGCTGGCCTGGCAGCTGGCTGGGTCAGCCCCGCTGCGGAGTGGTTTTGACAGGTACAAAAGCTCCTTGTTTACAAGGAAAACCTTTGATAACAATATCTTAACTATACAGCAGAAGTTCTTGTAGTAGAAAAAGATGTTTCTAATTGTGTAACAACCCCCTGTCCTCTTAAGCCCAGACCATTAGCTGATTCTGGTGGCTTTTGATAGTGTATGGTTCTTAAATTGGCTGGAGCTGATATCTCTCAAGGTCTCTCTGGAAGCAATGTTGGTATATTGATGCAATTATGTTGTTTTCTCCCATTTCATGTCAGTGGAGTTCATTACTGGCCGTCTCTGGTTAAAGACCAAAGTCTGATCTGGACTTTTATCTTGTCTTCAAGCTCATGGATCCTACCAGAATGCTGCTCTCTCAGCCACTTTTTCAAGCTGGTGTTACTGGTAGCCATTGCATTGGTGCTGAAAGCTGGAGAAAGACAGGCTCAGGATGTCTCACAGCTGGTTACCAATCTTCCTCTAAAAATACCTTTTGGCATGGGAAATGGAGCTACAGTGCCTGCCATCAGGCTCTCTTGACAACTCCTGTTTTGTTTTGTTTTGTTTTTTTGTTGAGTGCATTTAAAGGTCTAAATCTACCAACGGACACACAAAGCCAGTCAGTCAGTGGGATGGCTTGGTCAGGGAACTTCTCCTTTTGTTTATAGTGTGACTATAAGCCTGCACAAGACTCAATAATTTAATCTGATAGAGTTGAAAGCTAATGGATGTGCTTTACAGGTAAGTGTCCAGATCTTGTTCAGCAATACTAAAGTGAAGTTCGTAAGAGCCCTGTGAAGTAACAAGATGGGTGACTGGTAACACTTTTTGGCAGAGGGCAGGTGCTGTTTTGGGAAGGCTGTTGCTGCTGGCCTTTACTACCTGGGTTCCTCAGTCCTTCGACCCAAGGAAGGCGGCCTGCAGCCCTGAGACTGCTGTGCAGTGAGTTCAGCACCTGCACGCCTGGATAAAAGAATAACCTCAAGAGGAGAACCTCATTTCTTCCTCCTTTGGCCATTGCGGTGTGAAGGCCACAGGACCATACCACCTCCCCTACTGCAACCTTTCAAAATCCCTGTGTTCTCTATCTCACCGCATCCAAATCTTCCAAGTCTCAACCTGAAATACCTACACTCAACTCCAGGGCGCAGCACCCGTGCCTTTGAAGAAGTAATCTCTTGCTCTGAACTGAAAATGAGCCACATCCAGCCCTTGTCTGGGAGGGCTGAGGCACCCTACAAGCCTGCTGTGCCCCGGCTCTCGAGGCAGGGGAGGCAGTGAGGATGCCCTGAGCAGGGGTGTGCCGTGATGCTCCCTCCGTGCCAGCCCACGGCTTTACCTCAGGGAGGTAGAAAAGCGCTCATTTTCCCAGCGATGGGGGGAGATACTGAAGCATGAAACCAGAAATGTTTGTGTGCACACACCAGCTAGGGATCGTAGGCAGGCAGATGTGGACGCAGCCCTCACCACCACCGTTTTAGTCCCTCTACTTTCTTTTTTTTTTGTTGTTAAAAATTATGTACAGTAGCGTGCAGAGTTAGCGTATCAACCCACAGCAAAAGAAAAGGGATTCTTCCCTTCCCCCTGCCCCTGCCCTAGATTAAGTTCACAAACGTCCTCTCTGTAAATTTAGCAAGCTTCAGACTCACTTCCTTTTGTAAGGAGACCTGAAAGA